TGTACACAAAAAATCCAAAAACAATCCACTAAAAATATTTTTTGAGCTAATAAGCAGGTTCAGCAACGTTATATGGTACAAGATCAATATACAAAAACTGTATTTCTATATACCAGCAATAAACACAAAAATAATTTTAAAATCAGCTATTTGTAACTGAATTAAAAAAATTAAATACTCAGAATAAATTTAACAAAAAAAGTATAAACTTATACTCTGAGAACTATAAAAAGAGAGTTGAAAGAAAAAAAGAGATCTAAAAAGTGGAAAGACATCCCATGTTCATGGATTTGAAAACTTACTAGTTTGCCACTTGTTAACATGGCAACTCTCCTCAAACTCATCTACAGATTTAACATAATTCCTATCAAAATCCAAGCAGGCTTTTTTGAAGAAATTGATAAACTGACCCTAAGCTCCAAATGGTTACAAAAAAAGACACAGAGAAGACAAAATAATCTTGAAATACACTATTACATTTACAGTCAGGTGATTTTACACATGGAGACCAAAGCAATTCAACTGAGAAAAAAATACCTTTATAATAAACTATGCAGGAACAACAGGATATTACATGTAAAATCCCATTATACCTTATATTAATATCTCTACAAAACTTAAAATGGATAATAGACCTCATGCATGATAGACCTACACACAAGGGCCGAAACTATAAAACTCTTAGAACAAAATAAAGGATTGAATCTTTGTGATCTTTAAGAACAAAGAACCGACACAACTCAACTTATTATAAATCTACAAAAATCAAGACAATATGGTTTTGGAGAAAGAACAAATAGATCAATGGCACAGAACAGAGAAACCAGAAATAGACCTACAGACACATAGTCAAATTATCTTTGAAGAAGACTAATACAATGAGGCAAAAAAAGTCTTCCACAAAGGCTTAATTACTGGATATTCATATACCAAAAAAACAGAATCAAGACACAGACCATATACTTTTCACAAAAGTCAACTCAAACTGGATTACAGACCTAAAAGTTAAAAGGGAAAACTGCAAGGGATTTCCTGGCAGTCCAGAGGTTAAGACTCTGGACTTCCATGCAGAGGACACAGGTTCAACCCTGGTCGGGGAACTACAATCTCACGTGCCGTGCAGCACAGCTGAGAGAGAAAAAAAAGAATCTTACAAAACTCCTAAAAGACAATATAGGAGAAAATCTAGATGATCTTGTGTTTGGCTGAATAACAAGGCATGATCCACGTTAAGAAAGAACTGATATGCTGGACTTTACTAAAATTAAACATCTCTGATCTGTTCAACCCAATATACTGAGTTAAATGTGATCATTAGATCTTTTACAAGGTATAAAACTAACCATTCAACTCCTGCTCAGTTTCCTAAACAGCAGATCTCCAAGAAATGGCCAAAATTAGAAATTATGTCAGAACTGGGTTCCTTGCAACTAATTTTCTTAATCAGCACTGACAATATATTAACAACTAAGATGTTCAAGCTGAATTTAGAAAAGGCAGAGGAACCAGAGATCAAACTGCCAACATCCATTGGATCATCGAAAAAGCAAGAGAGTTCCAGAAAAACATCTACTACTGCTTTATTGACTATGCTAAAGCCTTTGACTGTATCAATCACAACAAACTGTGGAAAATTCTTCAAGAGATGGGAAAACCAGACCACCTGACCTGCCTCCTGAGAAATCTGTATGCAGGTCAAGAAACAACAGTTAGAACTGGACATGGAACAACGGACTGGTTCCAAATCAGGAAAAGAGTACACTCAGGCTGTATATTGTCACCCTGTTTATTTAACTTATATGCAGAAATGCACGAGAAATGCTGGGCTGGATGAAGCACAAGCTGGAATCAAGATTGCCAGGAGAAATATCAATAACCTCAGATATGCAGATGACACCACATTTATGGCAGAAAGCTAAGGAGAACTAAAGAGCCTCTTGATGAAAGTGAAAGAAGAGAGTGAAAAAGTTGGCTTAAAACTCAACATGCAGAAAATTAAGATCATGGCATCCAGTCCTATCACTTCATGGCAAATAGAAGCGGAAACAATGGAAACAGTGATAGATTATATTTTGGGGGAACTCCAAAATCACTGCAGATGGTGACTGCAGCCATGAAATTAAAAGATGCTTGCTCCTTGGAAGAAAAGCTATAACAAACCTAGACAGCATATTGAAAAGCAGAGACAGTACTCTGTCAACAAAGGTCCATCTAGTCAAAGTTATGGTTTTTGCAGTAGTCATGTATGGATGTGAGAGTTGGACTATAAAGAAAACTGAGCGCCGAATAATTGATGCTTTTGAACAGAGTCCCTTGGACTGCAAAGAGATCCAACCAGTCCATCCTAAAGGAAATCAGTCCTGAATATTCATTGGAAAGACTGATGCTGAAGCTGAAGCTCTAGTACTCTGGTCACCTGATGCGAAGAACTGACTCATTTGAAAAGACCCTGATGCTGGGCAAGATTGAAGGCGGGAGGAGAAGGGGACAACAGAGGATAAGATGGTTGGATGGCATCACCTACTCAATGGACATGAGTTTTAGTAAGCTCTGAGAGTTGGTGATGGACTAACTCCCAGAGTAACCTCTGGGAGTTAGTAAGCTCAGGGAAGCCTGGTGTGCTACAGTCCATGATGTTGCAAAGAGTTGGACACGACTGAGCGACTGAACTGAACTGAGTTTCATTCCACTGCCATAGTCTTTGTCCTACATTTGGGCTAATCCACTCAAAGGAAGAAATGCTTGACTGCAGTTCCTGAGCCAGCGGACGGCTGTACAGGAACACACAGGCAGAGAGACACCCCTTGTGCGTCGTGACAAAGGATCCCGTCCCACAAGACTGAGGCTCACTTTTCTTGACCAAGGAGAGCTTGCCTTCAGCAACACGCAGTCCTGCTTATCATTTTCAGATGACAGGTCTTCCAAAGCCCTCACTACACTTTATAAAAACATTTTGTATGTGTGTATCTTTAAACAAATTCTGTTTCCAAACTCCCAGAGCACTATTTCCCTGTACAAAACAGTTGTTCTTCAGTCAACTGAATTTTCCCGTAAAACAGACTTTAAAGTTGGCTACAATATACACAGCGTACCTTTCCTTGATTTTCCCACATATCATTAATGTTTTGATAGTTCCATATGGCCTGTTACTTTTTCAATCTGTCCCAAAGTTTTTTAATATCTTTCATCCTCTCCACCAGATCTTCCTGGTGGCTCAGACAGTAAAGTGTCTGCCTATAATTCGGGTAGACCTGGGTTCAATCCCTGGGTTGGGAAGATCCCCTGGAGAAGGAAATGGCAACCCACTCCAGTATTCTTGCCTGGAAAATGTCATGGAAAGAGGAGCCTGGCAGGCTACAGTCCATGGAGTCGCAAAGAGTCAGGCACGACTGAGCGACTTCACTTTCTCTTTTCCCCTCAACCCCCAACAAAAATTGGAGCAAAACTTAAGATTGCAAAACACAAACGGGAAATGTTTTTCAAAGCAAACCTAAGGTAATACATGCTCCCTAACAATCAAAAGAAATATACTGAAGATATAAAGCTGATTATTAGGAGAAAGAGGACTCGAGACTAGGATAGTAAGGATTAACCTGCCTGTGAGCTCTGCCCCGCTCACTGTGACCCCCTCTGGGCAAGAGGTCTGGGGACTCATTCCCCTTCCCAGCATCTGACAGCTCACGTTCTGTCACATAAATGGAGCAGCCACCCCACCAAACTCCCAGTTTACAGCCCAGGGGACGAATGAGTTCCCATCTGTGCAGAGTCCCCAGTGCATCCTCATGTCTGAAATGGTTGGTTCTCTACGTCCTTCTGCTGATCGTCTGCTCTTTTCTCCTAAACAGACCCCCATCCTCCAAGAAGGGACTAACACACAGAGAACAGGTTAAATGAAACACCGGGTACCTTCCTGTACTGTAAGGAACAGATCAGATCAAGGAAAAGAGAGCACAGCACAGACAGACAGCTGATCAAGCAGACGCCTACGAGCTCAGCAAACATGTGCTAGCTCCCAAGAGTGCTGTAAATGCATCCTCTTTGTTCAATTCACTCATAGTCCATGTCCCCATTCTACAGGTAGATACAATGAGACTCAAAGGAGTAAGTAACAGGCCTGAGATCTGCTGAAACTCGAGCCTAGATCTGTGACTCAACTAGGATGCATATTACTGCTTTGTCTATCAAGTGAGCAAATGTGCTAGAAAAGCAAATCAAACTCTAAGGAACAGCAGCAACTCATTTAGAACAGTTCTAATAGCAGTTCTAACACACAAGTATCTCTACTTAAGTAAATAATTAAAAAGCAGATACTTTGTGTCTATAATATAGTCCATTTAAACTCTGTACTACTAATAATGTGCTGTGCTTAGTCCTGTCTGACTCCTTTCAATCCCATGGACTGTAGCCTGCCAGGCTCCTCTGTCCATGGAATTCTCCAGGCAAGAATACTGGAGTGGGTTGTCGTGCCCTCCTCCAGGGGATCTTCCCAACCCAGGAATCAAACCAGGGTCTCCTGCATTGCAGGTGGATTCTTTACCAGCTGAGCTACTGAGATTTTCACATTTTTATATTGGGAACACTTTTTGAGGAGTAAACATATTATTACCTTATTATCTACACTTTAACAACACTGTAATCAACAAAGATCAAGTGGAGAACTCCCAACTAGCCTTAAGGAAAGTCAGCCACAATCTGAATGGAATCACAGGTTACAGGAGAAAATGACTGGGTTTCTTCACAAAATCCCTCCCCACTAAGGTGTGCAGCTATCCCTTGGTTAGCAACAGCCCGGTGATGTACCACGCTTCCATGTATTCAACCCTCTTCTACAAAGTTATAAATGAAACTTTAAATGTCCTAAGTATTCCACTGCACTGTGGTAACATAAAGTAAAATTCCATTTCTAAAAGGTTCTTCTTCTCTTTCAAAAACATGTTCTCTTGACCTACAGAGACACAGTGCCCTCAGCTACAAAAGTCATGCATGACCACGGCCACATGTCAGCCTGCAGAGGCTGGAAGGATATGGTTTGGAGGCAGGAAGTTCCAGCTGAGGACGTGGTTGGCCAGAGCGAGGTAGCGCTGGAACACGGACGACATCTGGGCGCTAAGGTGCTCCCGCTGGCTGAACTCCTGCAGCACCTGCACCGTCAGCAGGAAGATCTGGCGGAGGTCTTCCTCCTGCAGTCAATTAACCACATGTGCTCTGGTCAAACGCTTATACAAAATACATTCCCTTTTAGAACCATAAAAGCAAATGAACAGAAACCTTAAAATTTCCAATGGAAAGCATGACTTCTTTAAAGACACCTTCCATTTTTAGGCCTGCCTGGAAGTTACATCGCAGAATGCTCTCAAGTGATGCCATCTGAAGACACCACCGTCACTTACAGGCCACTCTCCTGAGAAGCCGGTCTGAGGTGAGAGCCAGTGGCTTCAGCGTGAGCCCTCCGACTGAAACCAGTGTCTTCACATAACTCACTTTGGAGCCAAACAATACACACAAAACAAAGAGCCCACGCCATCTGCAATAACACTGAAATACACAGCCCTTTCTGGCACACTGCCAGGCCTATTTTTAAGACCAGCATAATCCCACCAACTGAATTAGTTCTATCTAAACACAATACGAACAAAATTAATAAGCTGAGGATCTTAATAGTAGCATTTCTGTTTTAAGACTAAAATTAAACAAATAACCTTAAATCATCAACTACGTTCACCGAAGCTATCGCTTTACTGTATCCTATGAAATCACAACACAAATTTTCACATACAGGCTATCATTCAACTAGATAAAAGAAACATTCTCACTCCACTAGAAACAAATTGAGTAAAAAGTGAATGCTCTAATGATTAAAACATAAAAACAAAAATAACAGTACCTGGAAAACTCTTTTGCAGTTGCCATGGAACTCCATACTCAGTCCAATGTTGCTCGTTTTACTTGAACTTGAGAATTCACTCAACAGTGCAGTGAGAATTGAACAGGCCAGAGTTTGCTGTAAGTATTCGATAACAAATGATCGTGAGTCACTGTTTTCCCATGCTTGGTTTCAATACAATATCTGTTCAACATAATGAAATGCTTTTATCTCTGGAGCACCCATCATATCTTCTGCCACGAGAAAATCACACACAACAGGGTAAAGATGAGCTCGCCGCTCTCTGTGGCCTTGGAATTGTGGATACATAAGCTCACCCCAGTTATGGGAGACTCTGAGCCTGGCACTCAGGACGCCCTCCTACTGCTCCTCAACCACAGTATACATGGTATTTTAAGATGATTGATATTTAATGCATTATTTCTTTTGATTCACAAAATCCATATCCTCATTTGACATTTGAAAGAAGTGAGAGTCAAAGGGCAAGTCATCAAGGCCAACTGAGTTTTGAACCCAGGTTTGTCTGACTCTAAGTTCTGATGACTGTAACCTGTATTTCCAAACAGAAGAAAGGTGAAATAGATTTTAGAGTCTCCAAAATATTAACCAGGTAGTACTGCTGAGTTTTTACAACTGAAAACAAAGATTTTCCTTCTCGGTAGCTGTATCAACAGGCCCAACTATCAGCTCACTGCTTTTACTCACAGTGTCAAGGTACCATGACAGGGACGATACCACTTACTCTGGCAAGTTTCCAGAGGTTACACAGAAATATGCACACTACCCACAGAAATATGCACACTACCTCTGAACAACCCAAAGATTAAAGTCAGGACGATACTATTTATGCTGCTTATACAACAGCTGAGCACAGTCCTACCCGCCCACCAACTGCAGCATCTCTGCTCAGAAATGCTTCTGATGTCCGTACCTTGACCTTACAGATACTTGTCTTGGCAATCTTAGCAAATACACATAAAATTAAATTCCTAAAGATTATCACACATTGATACTTGTTGAAGATGAAAGATGGCTACACAGGTGACCACTATACTACCCATAGTGTACTTGTACACTTTTGTAGTATTGGTATGTTTTTGCACGTGTCTAAAATTTTCCTCAAAGAAAACACAAAAAAGAAATAAATTCCTATTGGCTTCTAAATCTTAACTGGTAAGTATGATGTATAATTAACAATTATGATAGCACACTGACCCAGAGATTCAAGCAGCTTGTCAGACTTTTCCATACCAGATAGCCCTAACAACATGGATTACATGTGAATACCCTCAGGAATCCCAGGGTGCACACACCCGACTGCCTTTGACAGTAAGTCCTCTGACTATAGATAAAAAGCTTAAAGACACACGCATTCACTTTGTAACTGTACTTCAAAATACACTTATGTTATAACATTAAAATATCCCCTTTTACCCAATCTTCAAGAAGAGTGTGTAAGTTGGACTGCCTTTGCAGGGACCCAGGCACGGGGGAGAAACGAGCGTACAAAGCTTCTCTCAAGGCAACAGCTGACCACACTGCCTTCATCTCACAGTTGAAAGGGGCACAAACATGCACCAAGTGCAACCATCTTCATGTTTAGCTAACAAAACTGGTTGAAAAACTGGCTTTCTTTTAAAATAGTGATTAATGATCGAAGTGCCAGCAATCAAAAGTTCACAGATACATTTATGTAGCATTGGGATCAACGATGAATGTAGTTTTTAAATACAGCTAGGTTCTGGTAGGGAAAGTGGGTAGTAGTATTAAATACAAATTAATGAAATTCGAAAGGAAAAGTTAACTTACAAGGATGTAACATGATGAGTTACAAGATCCTATGATTCTGAAAACAATTTTCCCCCATACTTTCCACTTTTCTCTTACCCCTTCTAAATAAAACTTCAGTACACAGAAAGAACACTATGAACAGAAACCTAAATGTTTAAGAAAACATGTCTTACTGAAAAACAGAAACTAACTTTGGAATCTCAGGTGAAATAATCAATCTACTGAAAACAGGACTGATGCACAAGTTATTCAAAAACATGCAAACTGAAAAGAACCCAGAAGCACTCGTTAAATATAAACTTATCATCTTTACAAACTATCTATAATAGTTTTGCACAAGTAATCTACAACTTGCCACAAATTGTTTTCTAGTGCCAGATTATTTTGTTGTCCAGCTAAGTCCTGTCCGACTCTTTGCAACTCCATGGACGGCAGCACGACAGGCTTCCCTACCCTTTGCTATTTCCTGGAGTTTGTTCAAACTCATGTCCATTGATTCGGTGATGCCATCCAACCATCTCATCCTCTGCTGCCCACTTCTTCTGCCCTCAATCTTTCCCAGTAACAGGGTATTCTCCAACTGAGTAGGTTGGCTCTTCAAATCAGGTGGCCAAAGTATTGGAGCTTCAGCTTCAGCATCAGTCCTTCCAGTGATTATTTAGGGATGATTTCCTTTAGGATTGACTGGTTTAATCTCCTTGATGTCTAAGGGATTCTCAAGAGTCGTCTCTAGCACCACAGTTCAAAAGTTTCCACTCTTCAGTGCTCAGCCTTCTTTATGGTCCTACTGTCACGTCCATGCATGACTACTGGAAAAACCATAGCTTTGACTAGATGGACTTTTGCTGGCAAAATGATGTCTCTGCTTTTTTAATATGCTGTCTAGATTTGTCATTGTTTTTCTTCCAAGGAGCAAGGGTCTTTTTATTTCATGGCTGCAGTCTCCATCCACAGTGACTTTGAAGCCCAAGAAAATAAAATCTGTCACTGTTTCCACTTCTTCTCCAAACTATATTCACCTCAAAACAGCATAAACTACAACCATATATAAATGTTTAGTAACATAACTCACTTTATTGTTTGAGTACATGCTGACTGAGCATGTACTCACAATAAAGCTTTATTTTTATGTGAAATAAGCACTTCCTGGGAGTACGAGCACAGGTCTGTGGTGAGCGAGTGAACGAGGCAGGAGCAGGGAGAAGTGAGGACCTTCCTGAGGCCACTCCAGCAGAGGAGAAGGAAGCATGCTTAAAAGTCAGTCTCCTTTAACCACAAGCCTCAGCAGACACACAGGGAGTCCCCAGTGGGATGGTATTGCTTTTGCAACATCCCAGCACAACAGAGATTTTCACACCAATAAAGTAAAAATTCACCCATAAAGGGAAGTGTATTCTTAACGCTGGATTGGCCAAAAAGTTCATAAGATGTTACGGGAAAATGGGAATGTATTTTTTAGCCAACTCAATACATAAGTAAAAACAAACTACATTCTTATTGTAGACTTAGTTTGTTGACCATAAGAATATTTTGTTTTTAAATTAATTTTTCTTCCTACAAAAATAACCACTGAGAAGTTACTACTGTAATGTGTTTACTGCTTTCTAATTTTTAAGTGCAGTTATACATTATTTATTATAATACATTACCATTATCCCAGTGTATTGTTTTATATTCTACCTTTTCCACTTTATAATTATGAAACAAAAGGACAAACTTTCAAAAACAAGTGGGTCCCTAGCAAATCCACCATTCAAGGACTTAAGAAATACATGGAAATAAATCATGTAGCATGGTCAGCGGTGCTACCAGAAATCAAATATCCTGGCTTTGACCTACCTAAAACAACCAGCTCTTTAAGAACTAAAGTTAAATGAGATACTGTATCATTAAAAGATAACTGAGCAGTTTTATTCGCTCCTTAATGTGAAAGCCCTGCAAGGCTTCGAGGTTGGCATCATTAATGAGAATACTGTGGCCCAGAAGTGCCAGTTAACAGAAATCCCTGGAGAATGATCAATGTGAAGCATGGACTGCACACGGAATAAGCGAGGTGCTCTGCACAGACCAGCAGAGTGCTCCTCCTGTTCACAGAGGACGCAGACACTTCCTGGTGTCTAAGATGAGTCACTCGTCTCCAGACCATCTACCAACCAGATCCCATGAACACAAAGCATCGTGCAAGCAGGGCAGGGCACTCAGGAGGCGGCCAAAGAGCCTCAGAGAAGGGGAAGCTCCTTCTGGGGAGAAGTGGAGGAAGTCCTCCCCTCTGCCAGCTCCAGGGGTCCCCCGAGGGCATAACCCCTGAACCCCCACAGCTCAGTGCCTTCCGGGGCTAGGTCTTATTTCTGTTCTAGAGACAGCCAGGGCTAGGTCTTATTGCTATACTAGAGACAGTCAGGGCTAGGTCTTATTTCTGCTCTAGGGACAGACAGAGCTAGGTTTTATTGCTGTATTAGAGACAGTGACTCCAATATTTCGGGGGCCAGAAACAGAATCTGTGGTCACTACAGTGGGAACCCCACTGAAACCAGGTCAGAGGTGACTGGCTGACTGGCAAGCAGTGTACCGTGAGGCTCGCACTGAAGTTATCGATTGGGATGAAGCTGGTATAAAGGACCGTCAGTACAAAGAGGTGAACACGGCAATGCTTCATTTATCCAAAATCATAAAGACTAAGTATCTGTTGATCTTCCAAATGCAGCAAGCAAACGCTTTTAATGAAACTTACTTCATGTAAGATTTTCCAAAACAACCCTTCTAAGGCAATTATACATGGTGTGGTGACAAAGCGAGCACCAGGAATCCACTAAAACACACAAGGCGAGTTCCCAGCCCAGGACACTGGAGGCAGAGCCCAGCCCTGCTGGACAGACGTGTGCCCACGGCTGTGCCCAGGCGCCGTCTGTGCCTGTCATTCGCTGCTGCTGGCAGTGTGATCAGCACTAACAAGCAGCCCCAAGCGACAGCGTTCATTTCCAATAACTCAGAAGCCAAATAATAATATTCGTTACAACTATACCCCAAATCAATTCCAAATGAAAACCCTCCACGGGACTCTCCCAGTGGGCCAGGACATGGACCTTAAACCCTACTGTTTCATATAAAGAGGTCAGAAAAGCTGGGCCCTGACAGGCTGAGACTCAGCACGTCTAGTGACTGAACCCAAGCACTTCATCGGTTCAGCCTCGACTGTCAACCATGAAACAGCTATACCTTGTCACCACAGAGGTCACATGACGGCCCTGAGGTTCAGACTGGATGATGGGGGAAAATGCTACATAAATGCAGCAAATATGACAGGATAAAGTCAAAAGGCAACAGCATCCTCATGATCATAAAAATAGCCTGTGTTGGCTTCTTTAGTCCTACTTCCTGACTGTTAACTACAATCCACCAAATTAAAATCACAAGGTAAGTTACCAATTTAAAAAAGAAAACCAAAACTAAAGCATCGCTCGTCCAACAGTGCTTGCTCACCTAGGTTAGTAAGCCAACCTGCGCCTGACACAAGGGAAGGAGGAAAATTAACATTAACACAAGGGAAGGAGGAAAATGAGTGTTCCCAATTTTTTTTAGCTACTGATGAATGTCAAAGACAAAACTTAATATGTAAAACAAGGAGAGGACATTCAATGAGGTTTGAAGGTAATGAAAGAGTCTAATATGTTTTCTTTCACTGAAGTACTAAAACTCACAAGTCGATTCACCAGCTAACAGCTGAAGTAACTGCAGCCTTAATATTAGAAGTCTTAAAGCAGAATTCTCATTTCCAGTGAAAGACACTAATTTCACAGAAGTGGAAAGAACACCCTTCAGGGACAACGTGCCTCACTCTCCAGCTTACTGTTACTAGAACAAGATACTCGCACACTAACCAGCTGACAAAATACAATACTCTTGTTCAGAGAGAACTGTCTCTTATAATAGCCTGGCTCTTGCCCCTAGAGCTTTATTACCAAGAATAAACTTTATGAAAGGTTGCCATACATAAAGCAGACCTCCAGCTGCTCCTCTAAGCAAACATCAATGAGACTTGTGATAAGAGAGATTAAGTTGCTATCACGTCCACCAGCAGCCGGGAATTTCTCACCCTCTTTTCTCTAGCATGGCAAAGAGGAAGAAAGGAGGCTTAAACCACACATTCAACAGCTTTAAGAGTGACTTACATAGGCCAACTGCTTTCAAAGGAAATAAAACAAACATGAAATAGGTTAAAAATTTAGCCTGAATGTTAATTAAAATACAACATTTAGTCACTTTCCTTGGGAAGCGAGGACTCCTATTAACTCCTCCAAGGGGTGACCCCCTGCCCTGGGGACAAAGCAGCCCAGGGGGAGGCCTGTGCACATCAGGAGGGGACGGCACAGGACAGAGACCCGCATACACACCTCCCGCAAAGACAGCACAACACACAGACAACTGTGTGGTCTCAACAGGAAACTGTGTTAACTCACAAAATGCAGAGAACAAAGACCCTAGGGCACTCTTAAAGTGTTTAAAGGAAACATGCTGGTCATATATTCTTAAAATACACAAATAGTTTTCATTCATGGATAAAAGCAGAAATACTTTCTTCTGGTTTTCAACACTTAAAATGTCATTGAATAGACAAAGACGATAACATGTCCTAAGATCCTGTAAAAAAGGGGGTGTGAGGCCACGAGGGACATAGCATTTGCCAAGTGCTCTTAATGCTGTCCTTCCCATAATGGTCAATCACCACCCAGAGAAGTTAAAACAATTTCTCAAGTAAGAGAGGTAGTTTACCACCACTGATAAATGGCACGTGAACCTAAGTGTGAATCCAAAGTCAAAATCCATGCTGTAGCATATGATCCTGCCCCAAATGCGTTCACACTTGCAACTTGACTAGCACGATGCTGGACCAGAAGCTACACTCAGAAAGCAAGGGGGAGAGCCAGAACTAAGTTGGCTAATAGTCAGTTAGCCAAACTGACTACTTTCCAGTCAATTAGGGACAACAGGAAGCATCCTTCTTAAAAGGGTAAAGTTAGTCAACTAACCTACAAAATCATGAGGTCAACCCTTTCTTTCATCCAGAGAAAACCAGTTACCACTTCAAGTATCTCTAAAATCACCTTTATACCAAAAGTTTCTGGCCACCATCGTCAGTTTTCTGATTTTATCATTTTGCTTTCTTATCAAAGTTTTAAACCTCTTCCTCACTGCCATTCATGTCTCCAAGACTAAGAAAATCTCATGCAAACTCTTGAAGCACTCGCACAAATCCTTAGCAGCTGAGAAGACAGGAAGACAGACTAAAACGTTTCCTGGTCTGCAGCCTCATCTTTAAACCCTGCTGAAGGAACAGGAATGGCTCCAGGCACACATCTTGAACTTGAATTTGCCATATAAATGTGGGAATGCTTTCCAAGACCACACATTTTCAGTGTGGTCACCAAAACAAATTCATCTAGCAATCTTGAAATTAAGTTCTACATCCCACTACTGACTTCCTGCTACTATAAAAGTCCTGTTAGGAGAAATTTAACTTTAAAAAACTCCTCCTGTTTTGGAATAGTTCCTGAGAATATTAAATTTACTCATTCCTCTCAAAGGGAATGTATTGTGAACAGCGCAAAATCTTCTCTAAACAGCTACATCTGTTTCAATCATTCTCAGAACATCGGTTATTTCAGTGGCTCTAAGAACCAATCGCCATTTGCAGTGGGCCTCCTTTCTGGGGTGGGTCAGGGTTGGTTACCCAGGGGGAGACAGAGGAGGGTACAATTCCCAATTCCCAGCGTGTGCGCATTCCTGACAGCAAGGGCTCCAGGCCTTCGTCTTCAGCATCCAGAGACTACCATGGTGAACGAGAACAGAGTAGAAATTCCACCTCGACACTGACACCTAAGCCGACAGGATCACCAAGGACAATCAACAACAATCCCAGAGCCACTGCTAAGTTCCTCAAGTTCACCTCCTGGTCAGTCACAATGAGCTGGAATCCTGTCCTCCACACAAGTCACCTGAGACACAGAGTCGCTAAGTAAAATCAAAGTTACAAAGAGGAGCCTGTTCAGAGTTGGGGCTGGGATGATATTTCCAAGGGGCAGACTCAGCTCCAACCTTTTCCCTATGAGTTCCAGCCAGACAGGCTGCCACATGACTTCCCCATGACCATCAGCGAGGCCCTTGCTGGACTGCCCACGTGGCCAAAAGTGAGGCAGGAAAGGTACCATGCCACTGTGGTACTCTGGACACACAATGAATGCAGGCCCTGAGGTGCCAGTGCCTCAAGAGCAAAGCTCTTCATCAGAAGTGGGAGACTCCATCTACCCACAGAGGGTTTTGAGAGCGTATTCCCAGGTATCTTTACCTTGGAAACTGTTAATGGAATCTTATCTGCAGACTATTTTCAACAGAGCTCCTCACTACACAAAGTCAAAACAACTCATAAAATGTAATGATTCAAACATGCACATCTTTGAAGTTGTTAGCTTTATATAAACAATTAAACTAGAAGACTACAATTAAGTGGAAGGAACACAGAATAGGATTTTTAGACTACAAAGTCTCTAGACTACAGGGTCCAATTCAGTTGTCTTTTGTGGTGTGTGGCTATCTTGAATTCAAATAAAGTTTAATTAAAATAAAATAAAAAATTCAGCTCCTCAGTCACACAAGCCACATTTCAAATACTCAGAAGCTGCATGTGCCACAGGCTGGAGAGTGAAGACAGAACATCTGCATCAACACAGTGACTTCTACCGACAGCACGGCTCCTGAAAGAAACCAGCCACAACACAACACACAGCACACCATCTACACAGTCAATTTCAAACGCTCTGTGTCTTGACTGTGTGGTTGTTCACTGGCACACAGAACTGTCACAACTTGATGGATACAGTAATGCATGGAATTTACTCCTCAATAAAGCTGATAAGAAAAACTCCAAAGGAAAGAAATACCTAGGGCAGATATAGGAAATTCCTTTGGTGGAGACCTAACTGGGTCAGTCACAGAAGGAGTGGCAGGTAAGCGTGCACACACACGGGTTGTGTCTGTGTGTGTGTGTCAGAAGTGGCAGAAGACACCCCAAATACTGTAGAAGGGAAGGGACAGGGCCCGTGGTCCTCCTAAAATGATCTCACACCACAAGTCACATACCACCACCCTGCTCGCTGGGGGACCACTAGACACCATCCATATAGAGACATAAGGGGCAGAGCCTCAAAGACACCTTCCAAATGATTAAGGAAAAGGAACTGGGAAAGTGAAAAGATGGCCCAAAATACCAAAAGGTTTAACACCTGAGAATCAGCTGAGCCAGGTACTGCCAACCCCAACTGGACACAAACTAAATCTCCCCCAGCTGATGAAGTCAGCAACTCCAGCCAAGAACCACAGCTGACCACAGCCCACCACTCTCTAGACTGACTGGTTCTCATAGGCAACAGGAGATGGAAAGGTAAGAACCAGCCAGGCTCCCCAGAAAACTCAGGTGTGCAGTTACACCTGGTAGTCACAGCACGCCTTCACCTATTAGTATTGCAACACTTAAGAATTTTCATGTCAGATATCATTTTCATATTTGCCTCACACATTTCCAAATCCTTGTGAAAGGTTTATTAAAAATGGGGGGAAATGTTCAACAGAAGGGTAATGGTTAAGAATATTATGGTATATTAGCTTGTAATACTGGACACCATTAAATAGGATTATGAAAATTATACAAGATTTATGAACTTATGATTATGAATCCTGGTAACACAGAAAAACAGAATCAAATGAAAAAGCAAAGTACACTCTACCCACAGTATGTACACATATAAAAGAAAGACTAGAAGAAAACATGAACAAACAGAAATTGCTTGATTTATTAGACTGTGCCTTTTTTAAATGTAGATACCCATTACTGTTGCTGTAACAGTATTAGTGTAATACAAAATAAAACTTAAATATTTACAAATAGCACACTTACCACAGTGGGGTTGCCACTACTTATCAACTGGCTGACTTCATGAAAAATGCTTTTGCAGTCAATTGATTTATCTAATGATCCTCGTTTTACAATTACTGCTACTGCTAATAGAATCTGTTCCCGAACATACTTTTGGAGGCTGTAAAACATAAAAATCATTGTGAAAACTTTTACACAAATCCAATATAAAAATACTCCCAGATTCCTCACTGTGCCTGCAGCTGCTGGCAGCACGGCTCACAACTAAGGTGGCGTGCTCCTGGTCACACAATGGTCTACTGCAGAGTCCGGGGCTCGAATCCACACTCCAGCAGCAACGGTTATGTGACCCTGGGCAAGCCCCTTCACACTCAGAGCCTCAGTCTCCTCATGAAATAGGGGTAAGAGTAACAGGGTTGTCACAACAAGGACTGCCCACTCTCAGCTTCACAGTCCATGCACACTAAGCGCCATGGAAACTCCGGGCAACCCTGCCAGACGGACATGCTGCAACTTCGTCTCCATCTCCATCACCACTAACATAGAAAGGTAATGTGCCAGCTAGCCAAGACACAGCACCATAAAAACATACACACTCTCAAAAACCTGTTTGTACAGATACGAACACGAAATACAGAAGTCTTTGTATCTAAGTTCTGTTCCTCAGTGTGGTGGCAGAAACACCCGTTTCAGATGGAAGCCTCCTACAAAGCCTATTGGGCCACAGGGACATACAGACTTAACTGCCTTTTCACAACCGTTTCTTAAAAGGAAGGCTTGGAAAACCTAACTCTGAACTTCATAATCCAGCCTCTAGAACGTCACACAGATTCAACAACCACGTGCCCCTGGGACAAAACCCAAACTCCCCAGCATGGCTCATGGCAGTAGGAGCCACCCCAGACTCCCCATCCCTTGCCGTCCAGCACAAGAACAAACAGTGCCTGCTTTACTCTGAATGGTGTCCCCGTGCAGACATAAAAGGCAGAGCCCTCACTTTTGAAGGGGGTTCCTGGGCCTCCCTCCATCTCAGCCCCTCCACTCACTCTCACAACCGCAGCTACACTGAACCTCCCTCAGGGCCTGCCCCCTAAACACCGCTCTCTGCACCTGGCTGGTCATCCAGAGGAGGGTTCCCCATACCACACACAACACGAAGTGTCTGTTTCTGGGGGGTTAAGTGTGTCTCCCAGGCTGGTTGCCATGCCGAGCATGCTGCTGTAGTCCCATGGAAAAAGCACACTGCCTGCCACACAACAGGCATTTACCAGACATTCATCCACATGAACAAACATGTCTTGCTCTGTCAAGAATGAAGAGAAAAATATTCCTTCAAAATAGACCTGAAGGATTCATTAAGCAAATAAAAGCAAAGACCCTACTGTGTGCAAGAATGTGAGGTGACCAGGGGGAATGTTTGTACTTCTCAGGGACACAACAGTTTGAAACAATGACTGCCACTAGAAAGGTACACAGAGCTAGTTTTAAAGATCACTACTGGGACTCTTTACGACCCCATGGACTGTATGCCACCAGGCTCGTCTGTCCATGGAAAAATTCCAGGCAAAAATACTGGAGTGGGTTGCCTTTCCCTTCTCCAGGGGATCTTCCCAACCCAGGGATCAAACCCGTGTCTCCTGCATTGCAGGCAGATTCTTTACCACTGAGCCACCAGGGAAGCCCAAATCACTGGAGAACAGTAATACCTAAAATTCATTAAGTGCTTATGATCTGTCTTCATATAAACTAACTTCACAAAAATTAATACATTTAATCCTCACAATCTTTTGAGTAAAGTACAACTATTCACTCTATTTAATAATGAGACAACTAATGCACAAAGACATTAATTTGCCCAAGGCCACGGAGTTAGTAAGGAGCACAAGGGGGATTCATAGTCCAGTTCTCAATCACTATGCTATACTGCCTCTAAAAAGTGTACCCTGCATTTCACTCACAGATTGGAGGAAACAGTAGAAAAGAAAGGAAAACTCTGGTGCCTGCCATGGGAGATACACAACAGTATATATGTATTAGTCTACAGTCCCTAACCTGTAGCACTCTACCCATGTGGCATACCAAAAGCTTTAACTTGACTCTGATCCACTCACAGGACATTCTACAAGATTAAAACATCTGTGCCATGAAAGTCCAAAAAAGGCAGAACTGTTTTAGATTAAACGAGACACACTAAATACATATAATCTGTGGTTAAATCCTGGATCAAAAAGTAACCTACAGAAGATAAAAGGGATACAAGCAGCACTATTCAGACAACTGGGAAGGTCAGAATTATAGTGAATAATGTAAATACAGAGTTATATCAAGAGCACTGAGATGATCTGAGGAGAGCTGCACTGCAGGATTTAAGGGGTGGGAGTCACTCAATCACTGGCTGAGCCTCTGCCAGGGAGAAGGCACATGGCACGGTCACAGCACTCCTCTTTCCACTTGGCTGAAAACTTTTTTCCCAAAAAGTAAGTGTGGGAGACAATATATAAGTGAACTATTTCCATGTGGAACCTGACAATCAACTCTAAAACAGCTCCTGAACTCACTGGAATTATTATGGTGAGATGATTTTGGATAACACAAGAGATGACATGCACACAACTGAACTCTGCCAAGCTGAAAGGCTGGGTAAGTAGGCGCGTACGGGAGGGGATGGGGAGACCTGTGATAAATGAGCAGCTCCAGGTTGGTGGGGGAGTGTCTGTGTTGGGGGGGCGGGGGTGGACTGTGATACATGAGAAGCTTCAGGGCAAGTTGACAGCAACATCCACAAGGGTTCATTAAACAACAAATTTAAATAAAGGAAGAAAAACAGCATGAAGGAGAAGAGAAAGGTCTGAAACAGGAGCAAGTTTTCCTTATGCTGTTAAAACTGAAACAAATAAGCCACACCCTCACTCAGAGACAAGCACCTTTGCTCATCCCTGGAACACTTTATCCTTCCAACCTGTGATGCTAACAGGCTGAGTCACAGCCTGTTGGGATTTTTCCCTTGTACATTTTTCTACATGAAGCACTTACTAGCACTTTACTGAGTGCTAAGTACTGTGAACTCAGAGACTGCTAGTGAACAGAGCAGGAACAAAGCCACACAGAACACTCTGACATATCTTTAAGGCTGTGTGCATCTCTGTCACCATGACCAGCATCCTTAATCACCAACAGTTCTCATTACGTAACATTTCTACATTGAGTGTGAAAATAAATATCTGTGCAAAAAGTGTTCAACTGCACAAACTGCAGACAATGTACGATGCCTCTCCTTAGAGGACTTGGCAGTGAGGGGACTTAAAAAAAAAGTGGTACAAAAGTATACAGTAAATGAATTTCTCCCAAAACCTGTATGGCCAGTAGTTTTCCTCATTTGTTTCTAAATCATACAGGAAATGAATTCACACAATCTTGTAAAACTTTTAAACAACACAATGTGTATAATATAAAAAGAAAACTCACTCTCACCCCATTCCTCAGACCTAACCCCTCTCCACAGGAAACTTAAAAAGAATGCAGTGTTTTCTGCTCTATGACCTTCCCAACATGTACATGTTAATGGTGCCTGACTTCCCCCAACCCTCATGGCTACTCACCTATTGTAATACACACCAAGAACCAAAAGAAGCATAAGTAAGTACAAAGGATTTTCGACTGAGTCAAAGATCAACTTTTATTTATAAACAAAATCCTAGAACTAAACAAGAAAAAGCCCTAACATCCAAGCATAATCTATTCAAAGAAATGAAACCCAGTGTCACAAGTTTATAGTAAAAAATCTTCTTTCATTAAGTTTCAAAACAACCTACAATCACATGTATGTGAATTTTTAAGATACGAGCCACACCCAGAGCTTAACCATAAACGTCAGTGATTGAAAAGCAAAGGAAAACCCAACCCGAGGATGAGTTGAGAGCAGGTACTCACTGAGGCCTCTGCAGGACATAGTTCAGGAGGAAGGTGCGTAGGGACTCGATAATGCCCTTCTCCAGGAGAATCCACTCTCGGACCACGGCCTCCATGATGGCCGTGGCAGCTTGGAAGAGGACATAGTCCACTTTACTCGTTTCTGGGGAGGAAACCAGACACCGTCGTTAAACAGCAGACCACCTTCCCCTGCGCACTCTGCGTTTATTAATTTTAAAGAGAACTTTCAGACAAGGAAGGAGATGGTTACCTGTTCCTTTTTTATCCAGTGACCTTGCTCTAGCACCACAAAGAGGTTAGTTCCTCTCAGAAGACACCTCAGGCAGGTGGCAGCTAGTCACCGATCACAATTGTCACAAACTTTCCTCACCTCTCTTCAACTGTTACTTCCAAAGCATGAAGAACTAAAAAATAACACAGCTTTAACAAAAATAAAATAAAAGTAGAAAGCAATCAGAAAATGTTCTAAGAGATTCTCACCCTATGCAAAACAGAACTTTGTATCTGCAGAGAATCTGACAAATGAGCCTCTGAACATTACTATCTGTGATGAGCCATGCTGTCAAGACATCTCAAGTTTGTTAGGTAATTAAGCTTTGAGCAGAATGGCCCATCTCCAATAGCAAGTTCAGAAATGAGCACAATCACATTCAGGTTCTTTTCCTCAAAATGTTTAAAAAATAAAAAAGTCACATTTACACAAGGTGAGAAGTTCTTGTGAATTTTCTGATTGCAGTAGTGATCAAACTGAGTAAAATCCCAAAGCTACACTCAGAAAGATCCAGCTTTAATGAGCAAGTTACAGCATTTGCACTGAACTCGCTTCTGAGGGGAAACCAGACACCGTCTTTAAACAGCAGCTCACCTTCCCTTGCGCATTCTGCGCTATTCATTTTAAACAGAACTTTTAGACAAGGAAGGAGATGGTTACCTGTTCTTTTTTTACCCAGTGAACTAAAACTAAATCAAGAAAGTTTAAAAAAAGAAAAAATAGAAAATTAACATACTGAAGAAACGCTTTACATTAATTTTCTATTTTTTTCTTTTATTCACCAACACCACTGTTATCGGTTTCCAAAGCAGCATTATCAAAAGGGAGAAACAGTCAAAATGAAGTCAAGAAAAAGTAGAAATTTTCTGAAGCTCTACAAAATAACCATCATGTGCAACCCACACGGAGTCTGATCCGACTCCGGGTTTCTGCCTAGATCACTGCACAGGAGCGCCTGAGGCCCGAGAGACACTTGTAGGCACAGAACAGCACCTACAATGACTTCTCAGAAGAGAATGAAGACATGGGCAGGCACATCATATTCTCCGCTTTTCAAGTGCAGACCATTTATTACAAGTGATCTCGACATAATTTTCTACAGAAGTGTTCAAAGAAAGGTATGCCTACGTCAATTCCTATCATACTAGGGTACAGTGGGGCGGGTTTGAAAATATCAAAACTAGGGGAATGAATCAATCTGGACCTTTTTCTTTTTTTTTTTATTAGTCCATGCCATTTTAACATGAATTCTAATAGAAATGGTAATCAGAACTCACAAAATTTTAGAAAACTTAAAATATAATGAATAAAGCAATAGTCTCCAAAAATGTAAACCTATCCTAAAAAGATGCATTTAAAGTTCTAGTAGGGAAAAGAAAGTGTTTCAGTCAAAGAGGACTTGAAACAGAAACCAGCACTATTATCTATTTAGCTCACTAAGGAGAAATATGGTACTGCCTCATAAAAGTAATTCAAATCATCTACTATAAACCTCTTCTTAAAACAATCTTAAAAAAAAAGTGCCTATCTGCACTTTTCACTGCAACGTAAAGTTTTTAAGGACCTGCAATCCTTAACCTTGGATTTGAACAGGGAAGTAATATTGTAGGGACTCAAGGAATTTTAGAAACAGAACCCTGCAGATCCCCTAATCCAATCCCTGCATGACACAGCTGAAGAAGTCGCACCGAGACACAGAGGAGACACAGGTCCGCGTGGCTGGCCCTGTCTGTTGGGTGATGTGGGCCCGCCCTGAATGCAGGCACCAGGAGGTGGCCTGGCAGGCACTCCCGCTTCTCATGACCGCTGAACATGCTCCTGTCTAACTGTGCTTACAGTCTAGCCTTTTTCCTCCCTGGCCCATTCTTTGCAATCGTTAAGGGGACAATTACAGAAAGTAAATGACATACAGAAGTTTTCAAGAGAACTCTTTTCCTTGTACTACTAGTCCTGTAAGAAAATGTCTCTTTTAAGAAAGGAGAAATCTGAAAAAAAAAAGTCAGATTCCAAATTTAAAAGTAGTTTTCCTAACTTAATAAAAAGTTCTTTCTCATAAACACTGCCATTGGCCTTCCTAAACTGCACTTAAACATAACAGAAACGTGCAGAAGACGGCAGCAAGAACTCTGCAAGCCTGCCAGTAGCAGGTGAGGCCTTCCCACACAAAGGAGCCTCTGTCTTGCTCTCTGCTGAGATGCTCAAAACTGCAAGGTCCCTGTGCAGAGCTCCCAGCTCAGCTGGAATCACTAGCACTCTCAGGGGTGATTTACCACTCACTAGGACACTGTCTGAAAGATGACAAGTTAATTTAAGCCAGCTTAGCAGGAAGCTTTTACTTCCTACCACGGTAACTCACTCTAATAACAATTATAAATAAAATTCAGGTGCATCTTGTCGGCCATCTGAAACCAGACAGAGACAGGAAGACTAAAGAGAGAGCAGAGCTAAGGGCTGGGAGCACAAGTACTGCCTTCCAGCATCCAGCAACTAACTGCACCACCCTGCCCGCTGGGGCTCCCGTCCAAAGCAGAGGCCATGTAAGCCACATGGTGACACACGCACACCAACAGTATTAAGGTTCAGATTCGCTCTGTCTTGGCTGTCTCTGAGATGAAAAACGAGAAAAATCCTCTTCTCTCGGAGAGCTCCAAAAGTGCTGGTCTCGGGGGGGGGGGGAATTTCTTCAACAAGAGCAGAACGCACAGGTTTCCTGAAGGAACATCTGACCCTACAAAACTAGTAAATTCCTAAGTGCCAAAGATTTCTGAGGCAAAAAAGTCAGAAAGTGCCCTTCTAACAAAACGCAGAAACATGCAACATGCACACATGTGCACACACTCAGAAAAGAGCAAAGAAATTAAAGCTACAATGAAAACAAAAGCTTGAGACCAGAAAGAAATGAGGAAAAATAAGAAATAACAAAACTTAAGTTAGAAGAGAGAAGGAAGAATTTTAAAAAGCCAGAAAAAGGAAACATCCAAGAGAAAGCCTCCCCTTCATCAGAACCTATCACCCAGACACTCCACACAAGTGACCTATATCCCGAAACAAGAACGTGAAAACCCTGGATTGCGATCGACTGCCACATGCGTGAGAAGTCTTCTCAGAGGAACTAACGTTTCTGGGCTGGTGGCAACTGGGTAAGGAGTTAAGCTTTCTGTGAAGTTCAGAGGTCAACATTAATGTAACACCAGGCTTTGCAGTACATTAATGATTATGCTTGTAACACATGCACCCAACTTTTAAATAGTTATGTCTCAAAACCCAAAATGCTTTCAGTAGCGTAGCCAGAACTAGCAATACTATTCTTTAGAAATTTTTATCAGGAAAACAAAAGTATTCTAAAACAAGCTCAAGTCGTAACAAAGCAATAGTTCTTCATAAAATATACATACTCTAAAAAAGAGAGTGGTAAACAAATACACTCTAATATCATACTTATCACTGAGACCGGTATTTCCCAGCCAGTACAGAATGACAACCGAGTCATGGCCGGAAGTCGGATGAGACACCGCGGGGACCTGCTGACACAGTTAGGCCGAAGCCTCGAAAGCCAGGCTCAGATCATCTGAGCTTTTCTCCCTCCACTGACTCTGACAGCTTCAAGGCCGTAAGGATGAAGAAGTAAGGCTCCCTCCAACTCTTAATGATCTTCAGTTTTGCTTCTTTTAATACTGAGTTAAACATTCTCCACATGGTAACAAGTTTTCTTAGTGTCAGAAACAAATTCAACCAAGTATAAAAATTGACTACTCAAAAAAAAAAAACACCTTGCCTCGTTTAGAATTAAAGGTGAGTATTAGACTGCTTCTCTAACTCAAGCTCTAACTCCTGGAGGGGACAGGGCCGCCTTTACCACCGCTGCCAGCTCCGCCCAGAGCACTTTTCAAAGGCTGTCTGACATGCGGTCACGCAGCAATGACCTTCACCTGACCTCTCGCCAAGTGCTTTCACATGTTGCTATATCTGCGCCTCACTACGACTTAACACGGTCAAGTCCATTTAAGGAAATGGCATCATTATGCCCATTTCACAGACAGAAAAGGCTCTGAGGGGCAATGTGACTTCCCGTGCTGCTTCCAGGCTGCAGGGACCCCAGCGCCCAGCCCTTCCACTAAAGGCCCTGGACCTCAGCCCTGACCCGGAAAGCACTGCGCACACAGAGACCGACTGTGGGCTATTTACCAGAGCGCTGGGGGCCAGCAGGTTAGCGTTCCTAAAGCACAAGAACACACGGCAGATTCTTCAGCTCCTAACACTCAACTAACCAATTCTGTAGCCATGGACACCTCAAAAGGCTTCCTTTCAGAGCCCCCAATAGGGATTACAAAAAATGATTCCAAATAAGAAAAACAGCCAACAAAAATCTTTCTTATAATAATTGGAAAATATCTAAGAGGCAAAGAGAATGCCATCTTTGAACAAGTTATAATTGCTGTTATTACTTTTAAAGGAAAGAGATCACTCTGTACGTATGTCAGATATAAAATACAAACAAAAAATTTTTTACAAGAGTAAAAAACTCAATGTTTCATTTTAGGACATACAATGAAGAACCTACACAGAACTGACTAATATTCACTACGTGAGCTGAGTACAAACTATTATATACGGTTTTTAAAAAACTGAAAAAACAACTAAAAGAAACTGTAGAAATCTCCAAAAATAATCTTAACTTTAAAACACTGGGATGAATTACAGTGAATTTCCTGTAAGTGATATCATACTTGAAAACAATAGAAAAAACATTAGATTTTCCTCTCACCATTATCAGCCTTGACATTACGGCCAATAATGAAACAACTTATTGAATGCGATACTCAGCAAAGAAAAATCCAAAGCAAAACCAAAGTTTTCTCTCTGGCCTTATGGAATATCTTTAAAGTCACTCCAGTGGAATGACTAATGGAAAATTTAACTGTACAAACCTGCTTATCTTTAAATGCATGCAAACATCTAAAGTTCAAGATAGAAAAATTAGGTATTTTTAAAGTAAACACACTTACCCAAAATATGCTTGCAAACGGCAAACGGTGACTTTGACTTCCTGAATGACAAGAATATGTGCTCGGCATGCTGGCGCTGCTCGGTGTTAACCATGGAAGGTGGCGCCTTGAGAGTCAAACACACACAGAGCATACTTGTTTAATAAGGAGGCTTCAACAACAGCAATCCTTTCATCCACAACAAGAGAAGATATTTTCACTTTCAGGGGACAACAGGAGGACAAACACTTGCTTAAGGAATTACAGTATTAAACATTATAATAGACACCTAAAATACATCTTCAAGAAAACAGAAGAAACTCCTGGCAAGGTTTGGATCAAGTTGCCTAACATTTTAGGAAGGCAGATATTTATTTAAAAAATTTTGGTAAACTTTTTAAAAAACATAGCTAATATTGTCTCTTATTCCCAAATATACCATTCCATTTAAACTGATGAAGTTCAAATCACTTCTAAATTCTTAGGCACTGGTGAAACTGAATCCAAAGTTACTAAAACTTGATTTCTAAAAATGATCTTTTAAGATAGTCTGCCCAGGTCTTCAAGTTCCATTTTGTTTTAACAATATTTCTTTCAAAGACAGTATCTTCTGAACCAGCCCAACCTAAAACATACATTCCCATTCCACGGTTCAGTTATCTTTGACTTCACTGAGACCCATCTGAAGCTTAGAAGGAGAGACTGGCTTATACAGCATACAGATTAAAATATCAGATTCCTCAACTGGGGGGGGGGGTGGCAAAAAAATAAACCTTTGTTGCTGTAACCAATATAAATTAGGGAAGTCACTTCAAGTGTATTCAAAGACCTAGGAAGATGAAAAACATTTTGCCAGATACATTAAATCAATACTCAATATAAAGTCTATCAACTATGAAACATTAGTCACTCTATTTTCAGTTAAAATAGTTTTTAAAAATCCAAGAAGTCAACTAACTTTGATTCTCTTGCCTAAAGGAATTCTAATTAGCTAAAGCCAGTTCAGACTACTATTCCTAAAGATATAGCACCCTCTACAGCTCTCCAGGTAAAAATGAAAAATTTCCACTAAAAATCTCCAGTAAACAGAGAACAAGAATCACACTGCACAGCACAGGGAACTACGGCTCTTATCCTGTAATAGCCTACAATGGAGTATAATCTACAAAACCACTGACTATACTGTACACCTGAAACTAAGACTGTAAATCATCTATGTGTCAGTCTTTTAAAAAGAACTATGTTACATTCAGTTCTGTTTTATAATTTTGGCCGCACCAGGTTTTAGTTGCAGCACTCAGGATGTTCAGTTACAGCAGGTAACTTAGTTGCAGCATGCAGGATCTTAGTTTCAACCAGGGATCAAACCCACATCCTCTAAATTGGAAACACAGAGTCTTAGCCACTGAACCATCAGGGAAGCCCCCTTGAATATTTTTAAAGGCTTTATTAATAAAATACTGTGAACAGCTAACTATGCTAAATATAAATATTTTTTCATTTGCAAATTCTTAATTTCCACCATTTTCCCTAATTCAACGAGTTGAGTCTGTGCTCTCATAAGACCCTTCATCTACTGACTATGACCTGAATACACAGCATGCTAAACACTACCACCACCTGCTATACTGTTTATGAATACAAGTTCTACAAACAAAACAGTTCCCAAAGTTAATGATACTGGGACAGCCTAATATACACTTAATAAGATACAAGTCTGAATACAATTTTAATATAACATAAAAAATGAATTTCATTTTTAAGTTCAAATGATGAAGTATAAACTAAAAGCTTGTGTTAACCACCTGGTTGAATATCATACAAACAATAAAATCATCAAGTCAATAAGTTAAGGTACAAGATGGTATTCACTTTAATTTCTCAAAACTAAACTTTCAAATTCTTTCTCCTTGAAAATGAGTTTAAAACGGTTTCCAAGTAGCAACTTATTATAAAGTCCTGAGAAACTTCGTCTTAAAAAAAAAAAAAAAATCCCTAGTGCCTGAAGATTCAACAGGCTGGGAGTCAAAACCAAACACACGCATCTCCCTTCCAAGATCCCCAGGCAGCTCTGACCTAGAATGCCCTCTTCAGAACGTCACCCTTCACAGCTGCCTCAGTCCCTTCCCTCTTTACCAGCCTCTCTTGACCTTCCCCTAGATGGAGCACAAGAGACGTCTCTACCCCACCTCACACCACCAACACGTGAGTCCCCAGTACCCACACGTGTGAAGCCTCCATCACCCAACTCATCACAAGGTACTGCAGGTATTCACTGCCCTCGTTCCTTTCTCTACTGTTTCTATGACACCAGAGCCATCCTTTCACTCATCTCTAAATTCCTAGAGCCGAGCTCATGCACAAGGGAGAGGTGGGAAGAGCACTGAGTATAGAGCACGCGGCACAGTTTGCACTAGACAGGTAGACAGGTCTTTCTGCTTACAACAGGTCAACTCTCTTAAAAATCCCTTACAGCCATCAGAAAGACCTGGTTTCTAACTGTTTATCTTTGCAGCACAACAGTTGGGAAACCTTGGGCAAGGACCCCTCTCTGGTCCCCCCATCTAATGATGCTAAGGAATGCACCTTATAATTGCTAAGAGAACTGTGGTTAAAAACATGCTTATGGATCTCCCAAAATCCACCTCCAGTAATTAAACCTTATTGAGACTTAAACTGGAATTGTACTACCTCAGAATATGACAAGGTGACCCAGACACATCTAAGAAAAGACAAGGAACAGTCAAAATAATTTGGAAAAGGGGCGCTTTAGGGCCTTATGTCAGACAGAGAAAAGCAAATACCTTATGGTCTCACATCTGGAACCTAACAACAACAAAATGCAAAACCCTAAGCATAAGATACAGAAAACAGAAATTGGTGGCTGTCAGAAGCAGAAGTGGGGAGTGGTCAAAATGAATGAAGGTGGTTAAAAGGTACAAACTTTCAGTTACAAAAGAACTAAGCCTTGGGAGTGTAAAGCACTGCGTGGTAACTGCAATAACCATTCTGTTGGCTGTTTAGTCACAAAGCCGGTGCGCCTCTGCAACCCCATGGTCTGTAGCCGCCAGGCTCCTATTCCATGGAATGTCTCAAACAGGAACACTGGAGTGGATTGCCATTTCCTTCTTCAAGTGATCTTCCGGACCCAGGGATCAAGCCCAGGTCTTCTGCATTAGTAGGAGATTCTTTACCACTGAGCCACCTGGGAAGCCCACAATTAATTATACTGAACTGCTTATCTGAATATTGCTTAGAGAACAGATCTTAAAAGTTCTCATCTCACACACACACACACTATAAAAATATTTGGCGATAGATGTCAACTAGACTTATTATGATGATCATTTATCAATATATACAAATCATCATGTCTTACATTTGAAACTAACATAACTCGGGTGGCTTTTTTTTGGTTGTTTTTTGTTTGTTTTGTCTTTGGCCTCGTGGCATGCAGGATCTTAGTTCCTGGCCAGGGATCAAACCCTCACCCACTGCACTAGAAACACAGAGTCTTAACCACTGGACTCCCAGGGAAATCCCTGAAACTAACATAATGTTAAATGTCAATTACACCTCAAATAAAAAGCAAATCACACTTAAAGTTCAAAAAAATAGCCTTTTAAAAACATGCAGAAAAAGAATGATAAGAAGGGAGTCTTATCCAACCAGATATAAATACTTAAAATAATAATTTAAGTGTCAACACTTAAGGCATAATAATAATTTAAAACACAGTGTAAGAGCAGGAAAAAAGAAACAATGGAACAGAGAGAATTCCCAGAAACTCATGAGATGCAACAAATTAGTGAAGACTAAACTTTACAATACAAGGCACTAGAACGCTGGCTATTTATAAGCAAAAACATAAGATTAGCTCTCCACCCGTTTATACACACAGTAATAAATTCTAGGTGAAAAGTGAAAAGCAAAACTTTAAAAAAACTTAACAAGACACAGGAAAACACCAGGGTAGGGAAGGACTTTTTAAACAATAAATAAAAGACACAGTTTTTAAAATTAATCAATTCAATTATATTAAAATAATTCCTAACATTAACCATAAGTAAAAGACGATTAGGAGATAATAACTGCACTGCACGTACTTAACAAAGGATTAATCATAAAAACCCCACAAAAGAAAGGACAACATGCAGCATGACCGGCAGCTCGTCCTCTTCAGTCCCAGAGCTAAGGCACTGTCATCGGCGTTTCCTGTTACATGCGGCCAAATCCAATCCCAGTGGATAGGCAACTCAGCAGAAAAATGGCCAATGGACAGACAACTCACAGAATAGAAGGAAAACTGCTTGATAAACAAGGGGACGAACTCAATCTCACTGGGAACCTCAGAAATGCACGCTGAAACAATGAGCTGTCTGTCTCTGAATGCTGGACAGAAGTCTAGTACAAAAACAAGAGCCTGGAGAGCTCGGGGTACTGCAGACAGTTATAAACTGCTGATGATCTAAGATGGGCCACTCACTTGAAATTCACAGTTTCTCTAGAGTAAGTTCATGGGCCTGAACAGCAAGGTGTGCACCAGTCCACTTCTGGGCACTTATTCCTGGAGAACCTCTCCCCTACACTCAGACAAGCCTACAGGACTACTAACAACAATGACATTCCCACCAACGGGGAATACGTGCAGTACCACCGTAGAATGGTTTGTAAGAGCTATGTTTATCAAGGAGATAAACTCTGAAAGTTATTCTGAAGGAGCAAATGATGAGACATATACAATGTATCATTTATGTAAAAACATTTTTAACTCAATATACTATATTATTTACCTTTGTAGGCAAAGTGTACAAACACAAAAAGGAAACAGCTTTAAAACCGTGGTTATCTTTGTGGATGAAGAAGCAGGGGCCGAAGAATGGTATCTAAAGGAAACCCAAAGGGGCCTGAATCGTATCTGTGATTTTTTTTTTTTAAAGACTGTAAGTAAAATGGCTATTAACATGTTACCCAAGGAGGTAGGTACAGGGGTGTGATTTATATTGTTCTATGTGCTTTCCTACTTATTTAAAACATGTCCTTTTTTTAAATGAGTGGGCATTCAATCCTGATAGTAACGATGACCAGATACCTTGAACAACTCTTTTGCTAAAACCAAATTAAAAT